GACGTGACTTTTTAAACAATAAAAATTTTGAAATTGTATTTTGCAAACACCATATATATGTATTGTTTTTGCGTGAACTTGGAAGTTCCGAGTCTTTTTGGGCTTGCTTATAATTGATTGAATAAATAAATAAATAAGTCATTCAATAAAAATTCGTTGCACAAATATTTCTCCCCGTGATGGTGCATTTTTTGGTGAATATTCCTCTAACTTAAAATTTCGGCTAACAAGATTAAAGAGAGACGATTTATGATGATAAGTTTTTCTATCTAGAAAAAGAAAATTAACAAATGAGACAATTTAACATTGCTTTATTGAAACATGGACATGACATGTACAATTTGATAATAAGTGTTTGTAAAAAACTTGATCATTTGAAAATCTGTAAGTTTACAGGATCGTGATCAAGTAATATAATGATTAATAGAGTGTCGAACCCACGAAAACTCTGTGTTTGACCTAATTAAAATTAATTTCAACTTTAATCGAATAGCAAACAAATTTTGTAATTTTTTTCTATACCAATACCTCAATTATCAATTAAACTAATGAAAGTAAATAAATGTGTTTTTCAAATATATGAGATGAATTGTTAAGATGTCGAATCCCCCTTATTATTATATTTTTTGGGTAACAATTAAAGTGACAATTTGAAATCATTCATGCTGGTCAGTGTTCATAATTTAATTGAAAGTCTCTCTCAATAGCATCAAATCTATTCCCCTCATGTGATCCTTCTATCTCCCGATTAAATATGCAAACATGATAAATGTATTAACAAGTGTTAAAACACATATTGAAACCATATAAAATATAGATGTATACATTTATCATTTATTTAACCTTACAATATTTATTATATTGTGCTTAAACACTATTATCTCTCTCGATAACAATAAAATTCACTAATAATTCAATTGGTGATCAAGCAATTGAAAAGAATGATAAAAACGATAATAAACATCCACAAATCAATTCAAATTAAAGTCAAAATAATTAATTAAAAACTAAAAATTCATAACAAGAGTTCATCTCATCCTATTAATGTATAAAATTAGTCTAACATATTGAAATTATAAAAAAAAATAATAATAATCATATTTAAGTGAAAAAACATAACCCATTTTTTGATAAAATAAGAAGATGAAGATGAAGATGAATTTTGAAATCTTGAATCTCTTCAATGATTTCTTGATGAATCTCTACTGTGCCTTCTCTTTTTTGCCCAAAAATAAAGTTTGAATCTTCACTTGATTGAATTCTTGCAAGTCCCCTTCAATTCTTTCACAAAAACTATGAATTTTCGCAATTTGATGATAATAATTGATGAATATTGGAGTATGAGATATATATGAGAAGTCTCTAATATGTATTTTATTTTTAGGTATTTGTAGGAGTAGAAAATTGGTTGAAAATACCTCCAAATTGATTTTCAAAAGAGCTCTAATCGAATTAAGAAAGTTGCCTTAGCACGAGAATTTTTTTGTCTCTGCACAGCCTTCGGTATTTTGGCCATAACTTTATTTCTCGATAACCGATTGATACGAATCAAAGTAAGTTGAAAAGATAACTCAAAGGGATATAACTTTACTAGAATTGTAGTTTTTCCAATTAGGACGTTTACTATGCCAAAAATGAGTTTCAATTTTCGACTAAAAATCTGGAATATAACTTGAGCGATTGAAAATTGATTTTGATAATATTTTGATCATATTTCATTCATTTTTTAAATTTACGCAGTTCCACCCTAAAAATACCTAGATGGGGGTGAATATGTATTATATGCGGAATTAAATTTATTAATTAATTAGCAACAAGTCACCAATTAATTATCTCTAAATGGTTATTCAATCAAGTCAATTTAATCATATGTTTGAATGCCGCAGTTCATATAATCAATAAATAAAGCAGTAAAAATACAAGAATATTCACGGAGAAACCCCAATTGGGTAAAACTCTGAGCACTTTACCTGTCAACAATCCACTATAAACGATTCGTGACTTACAGTCCACCAGAAATAGACGACGACGCGTACTAACTTATCTCCCGTCTGCAATTTCGACAGCTTTCCTGAATTCTGTGCTCCTGCACCATTTCCAGCAACAATAACCAACGCTCTCCTAAAACTTTGCTATCCTACAGCAGCCCCTAACTTGGTAGAATAACCTATCTCCTGTGGATCACGAAAAACAACCCGTTCTTCACAGACTGAAACTTCAGTCGCCTTCCTCGATCTTCAGCACCTCTGACAGATATGTAGGAAGTTTGGTATTTGGATTAAGAATATGGTGTTTTTCTCACTACCAAGAACGATTTTCAAAGAAACATGAAGATTGAAAGCTCCAAAGATTTAAGAGAATATGAAAGGACAGTGTTTGCTCAATGTTCAACTTTATGAATTCTCGTTCTGTGGCTTAAAATATATATATAGGTAGGGTAGAAAACAGATGGGCCGGGAAAAAACCTTTAAAACACAAAATAAAAAATTCCCCATATAACCTTGTCGCTCGAGCAAGGGTTCAGTGACGGTTGAGACAGGTTGTCGCTCGAGTGAATGAATGACTACAATCTAGCAATGTAGATTC